AGATTCAAAATGCAAAGCTAAGTTTATATGCTAATCATTTATAAAGCAAATAGTACAGAAAGAACCTGTAATATCTGTTAAGAAAATTTTCCTTAAGTATAGTTGATTAAAAATGGCAAACAGAGATAATGGCTTTACATGACCTTGATATTTAAAATGCTACGAAATAACAGGTATATTTTGCCACCTAGCTATTTTAAAATAGTTTGCTAGTAAGGTTATGTCCAATTTAACAAAAAAGAAATGAAGATGTTAAGTAAAACAAAATTAGAGGAAAAGCACCAAAATCAAGCTGACCCCAAGGCAGCCATGAGGGAGATTTCATTATGGCAAATAGCAACACAATTTTTAAAAGATCTTTACAATGAGTACTAGGTACATTTAGATGTCTCAACCAATGAGAATCTTTAGGTAAGAAGCTTTTTTCACACCCATTTCAAGTAAAATGTACAAGTTACTTTCAAAAATTGTTTTCTACATTATTTCCTCAGACAGAAATCCTTAAACTTCTCAAGTTGAGAATAAACCTTTCTTCTGAAAGTAGTCAATGGAGCTTCACATATGAATTAGTGGGCCTTCACAAAGGATAAGAACAAATCCACAAATGTTAAATTACAAAACAACTTCCCACTACATAAAATCAGCATCTGTAAGAATTACCATTTGGATTCTTTCTCCCTAATTGTGCATTTTCCTATGACTCATCATGTATGGGTAATTTCCAAAATGTGAGGAGAGTCTGTGTGGCCCATGACCACCAAAATTTCAGAATCTAATAAAGTTGCTCCCTTATGGACATAAAGAAATGTCATGATTACCACAAACTCTGTTAGAACCAAAAAACTTAACTTTTTCAACATGATTCCTAAATTTGATAGTGCCAGGAGAGCCTTTCTGCTAGTTTTTTTTTTTCTTTTTCTGGGGGTGGTGGTGGAAGTGATACTGTTGTAATAACCTGGTAATTATTTAACAGCAAAGAAGTAAAAGGAAAGACTATATATAGGCACATCATTGATACAGCTTCGGGAACAAGCTGCATTTAACATTCTCCAAGTCTATTCCCCGCTGATTGATGGAGGAAGGTACTAGACCAGCCGTGGGCAAACTACGGCCCTCGGGCCGGATCCGGCCCGTTTGAAATGAATAAAACTAAAAAAAAAAAAGACCATACCCTTTTATGTAATGATGTTTACTTTGAATTTATATTAGTTCACACAAACACTCCATCCATGCTTTTGTTCCGGCCCTCCGGTCCAGTTTAAGAACCCATTGTGGCCCTCGAGTCAAAAAGTTTGCCCACCCCTGTACTAGACAAAGGCAGTTTAGAGGCATGCCCAGTAAGATCTGAGTGACATGGGAGGCTAATTGGCCATTAATCACACCTGGAAACAGGTAACTGGCCAGGATGGCCATGGCCACTGCAAGTGCACAAAACCTGAATAATTACAAAATAGATCCAGAGACATAGAAACATGGAGCAGACTGATGAATCTCAGATGGGATGGGGAAGGGTGGGAAGAGATTAACCAAAGAACTTTATATGAATAACCCATGGACAAAGACAATAGTGTGGTGAAGGCCTGGGGTGGGAGCAGGCTAGAAGGGGTCAATGGGGGGAAAAAGAGGACATGTGTAATACTTTCAACAATGATGATAAATTTAAAAAAATGATGAAACTATTTAAAATAACCCCAAGGCCCCAGAGGGCACTTAGCACAGAAAACCACTTTATCAACACAAGGAAGCATAAAAAATGCGGAGACAAAGAAACAGGACACAAATGACAGAAATGGAGGAAAGCAAACTGCTGGATATAGAGTTCAAAACCACACTTTTAAGGT